CTTTTGTTTGTTTTTCTATTAACCTTAGATTACAGGGAGTGTCTCAGCCAAGAACTTTAGAAGAGTAGAGGGAAAATTATTCTTCCTCCCCTGCAGTATTATGTGAATACAGAGGAGAAACACACTCAGCCTAGAGAGATCAGGGTAAAGACTGCCAAAGGAGGTAACCCTTAAGTTAGGTCTTTTTTTTTTTTTTTAAGATTTTATTTATTTATTCATGAGAGACACAGGGAGAGAGGCAGAGGGAGAAGCAGGGCTTCCCCATGGGGAAGCCCAATGAGAGACTCGATCCCACGACCCCAGGATCACGACCTGAGCTAAAGGCAGATGCTCAACCACAGAGCCACCCAGGTGTCCCCCTTAAGTTGAGTCTTAAGGGACTTAGGGAAGCAGGGTTGGAAAGGCAGGGAAGTCCAGATGGAGGAAACCTATTTAATGATATAATTGTGGGAGAAATGATACATGCTGGACACTGCAATGGGCACAGGCCTGGGGAGACAGAGAAGAGTTAGATTATGAAGGGTCTTAAAACTGTGCTGTTTGATCTTTACCTTGAAGACAGTGAAGAGTCACTGAAGTGTGTTAAGCAGAGTCCTGGGAAATAAACAGAATCAGGTTTGTGATTTTCAGAAAGGTTGAGGGGACTGGCAGGAAGTACTTAAAGTTATTTTACAAAAACCTTCTTATTTTTTTTCTCAGAGAATGTGACCTGATTGATTGTAGGAGGCTACTTACTATGGGTGGATGGAAATATGTGCATGAGAGAATGTGCATTCCTTCCCAAAGGCCCCAGCTCTAGAGCAGTTCTGGGGAATGAAGGGAGTGGCCAGACGGTGGGCTGGGATGACCTTTTCTAGGTGCGGAAAGAGACTTCCACCTGAGGAAGGAGCTCACATATAGCGTCAGCCCCCAAGCCTGGGACCATGCCGTATTGCTGCGAACCACAGGTAGGAACTGAACAGTACAAGTGAGGTTTTTAGCCTTGACTGTGATCAGGACAGGCTTGATGGCTCTCATGTGAAAGACAGAAGAGTGATCTAACATGTGGAGAAAGGGAGTCAAGAGGGGAAGAAGCTAGGAGAATCCTGCAAATTTATACCTGCCCTTTGAGGACAGATTATTTGTTCCTAGAAGAATGGAAACTGTAAAAGAGCCACTTAACAAATGAATGGACTTATGTGAGTTGCTTACATTTTCCATAACAATTCCATTTTTCTTCTCCTTTAGATTTTAATAAAGTTCGTTGTGAAAATCCCAGATTGGCTTGGCTTTGGTAAAAAGAAGCCAAGGAAGCTTTTTTTTTTTTTTCCTTTTTCTTTCTTTCATTCTTCACCCCCACTGCTCCCCTACCCCCCCCCCTCACTTTTTTTGTATTTAAACTATGAATGAATTACCCTGGGGAACCAAGAGAAACCTGAGTGAAAATCTGAGGTGAACTTCCAGGAGACAAAGTTTGAGTTGGGTTTACTTGGCCAGCTGTCTCTGTCAACATGGAGATTGTCCTTCCAAGGTATGATCTACTCCGGCCTTTTAAAGCTCCATATTGGGATGCCTGGGTGGCTCAGCGGTTAAAGCAGCTGCCCTCAGCCCAGGGTGTGATCCTGGAGTCCTGGGATCGAGTCCCATATTGGGTTCCCTGGATGGAGCCTGCTTCTCCCTCTGCCTGTGTCTCTCATGAATAAATAAAAATAAAATCTTAACAAAAAATAAAAAAATGAAACAAAGCTCCATGTTTTAATAGGAGGCTGTTTCATGCCAAAACATGGACATCAGCAGTACTTTTGAAAGAAATCCTAAATCCTCTAAAAGACATCCCATCTCTGGGATCCAGTTTTTGAATGTAGACTCTGTATATAATTATATTTAAGGCTCTAATCCTCCTCCCCCACCCACACAAACGTAATGAGGGCAGAAAATGTAATAAAGTCATACCATTTCTTTATTAAAAGTGTCTACACACTAGGATTAAGTTATGTTTGCTCTCTATCAGAACTGCACTTTAACCAGATTAAAACATTGTTAACTTCACCAACACAAGTATCAATTAAAATTATTAGAGTAACTAACAAAAGAGCATTAATACTATCTATCAAGTTATCAGTCATCACATTTAAGCTCAATTATTCCACTTCTGATCACTGCTATATTGTTTCATCTCAGGGAAAAATATTTAGCCTTTGACAGGATTTACTGGTCTATCATTACTCTCTGATCCCATGGATCCATTTATGGGCCAAGTTGTAAAATCTCAGCATAAATTTTTAGCTGTAAACACTTTTTCAAACCCTGTTCCAAAGTATATTGCCAGAAAAGGAGATTAAAAACAGTTATTTCAAATATTAAGTAGGGTGAAAGTGGGCTTTATTTTAGACCTTATCAATACATCTAAGTCCTAAGACTCAGTTATAAGGTGAATTGCACGAAAGCCCTTTGACTATTACAAAAAGGAATATCCGCCATCTTTCCTATGTGAAGCCATTCACTCATTCAAAAGAATTTGTTGAGTACCTACTATGTGACAGACTTGATAAATAATAGACACTGAGGTGTAACATTGAGCCAAACAGGCAAAATTCTGTTCTCATGGGGTTCACATTCTAGTGGGAACAGAGACAGGTATGTATATATGTCAGGTGGTGCTAAGTGCTGAGAAATGAGGAGCTAGAGAGTGAGGGGAGGCACAGTTTGCAGGTTTACACAGGCTAGTCAGGACAGGAGACATGAAGGAAAAGGGAGACAGTCACGAGATTAAGCTGAAAGCCTTCCAGACAGAGGGACAAGCAAAGGCTTTGCTGGCAAGTGCTTGGTGTGTTGGCAGAAGGAGTCCAATGTGGGGAACAGCCTGAGAACAAGCAAGGTAGGAGCTGAGGCCAGCAGCAGGGTACGAGATCATGAGGAATGTTTTATTTAATTTGCTTTTATCAAGGGGATAGAGCAATTAAACTGAAAATACAAATAAGTAAATCAAAGAAAACAGATTTTGTGACAATCTGTTTGACATGAATAAAAGGAAAGGGTTTAGAGGAATTCCTGTCTTAAAGTAGGATTCATTTTTTACTGCAATTGTAATCTGACTGCAATGTTTTTCTTTCTTTCTTTCTTTCTTTTTAAGATTTTATTTATTCATTCATGAGAAACACACAGAGGCAGAGACATAAGCAGAGGGAGGGACTCAGTCCCAGGACCCGGGACCACACCCTGAGCCAAAGGCAGAGGATCAACCACTGAGCCACACAAGTGCCCCAACTGCAATGTTTTTCTAATCTTTCTCACTACAGACCCAAAAGAGAAAGGCTGAATCAAAATTCTAAAACTAAACAACAAATGGGGGTGGGGGGAAACTAGAAGAATGTCATTTGCTGTCACTGTGCACAAATGTTAACACTGAAAAAAATCAACCAAGGGCTGAAAAGTAGTACCAAATCCCAAAAATTCTGGTCAAAGGTTTACACAACTACCTTCTGTACTTAAAAACAATGCCACTGAAGTAATTTTTGCTTGTGCGTATAGGTATGATTGCAAAGGGTATGGGTTTGGGTGGGGTGGAAGTCACAACCACAGAGCTCTGATAACAAATATATCCTGTGCTTTGTAATCAGAGCCCTCAGTGGTCGATTTTGTGATGTCTTTCCTGATTCTAAGTTTTGAGAAGGCCCATCCACTTCCCTTTGAGCTAGCGGTCTTGTCAGTGCTTCATTGTTTTATATTATGTTGTTTTTCCTTTACCACTTCCTCAAGCGGGAGGGTACAAAATAGATCCCTAGAGATCTCCCAACCATCCCAGGCAGCTTCTATAATTGCCCTGTTTTTGTGTTGATGACTTGATTATCAGTTTTCTGGACCACATGCTTGCACTGGATTTTTTTTTTTTTTTATTGTGGAGACATACTGAAGATCTACTAAGCAAATGTCATTTTGTGAAGGAGATTGACCACATTCAATCCTCAAGGACAGCATACAGGTAGTTCAAAGTAACATAAGCTGAATCTGCAAAAAAAAAAAAAAAAATGAACATATGCATTACTTTTTGAGAACCGAAAGCAGGTGGACATTTCTTTTACACGTCACCGAGACCCACTAAGGAAAATCCTTCCCTTCTTTTTGCACCATGAGCTCCACGGAGGCAGAGACCTTAGCTGTTTCGCCCAAGACTGATAACGAGCTAACAAACGTAAAGCCCTTTAAATTTGTGTTTGGCATACAGGCACTAAATAAATTTAGTTCTCATTATTCTCAGCGCTAAATATATTTAGTTCTCGTTATTCTCAGCACCTAGCATATAGTTTGTTGCTTAATACACGCTGGCTCCAGGAATGAAGAAGGAACTTACTTCTAATTCCTATTATTCTCCCCCACCCCCACCCCGCCCATCTGAAAACAAGCAGTTAAGGATCCTAATTGCTATGGCACAAACCCACTACCTGGTACACGGTAATTTTCAGACTGTTGCAAGGGATGGAGAAGAGAGGCAACTCTTGGGGAGTCTGAAAGAAAGCGCGAGGACAATACAGCCCTGAGTCTAAGGAACCAAGACGCCCAGGCCCGCGTTCTCCCAGGGGCCTCCTCCTAAACTTCCAGCCCCAGGGCCTCCCCTAACCCCGCTCCAAGGGGCGGGCACCACCGGGATGGAGATCGGTCAGGTCCGCCGCCCCGCGCCCCGCCCCCTTCCGAAGCCCCGCCCCCGGCGTCCGCCGCCCCTCCCCCACGGGGCTTCCTCCCCCCGAGCGCCCCCAGCCGCGGCCGGCGCCTCGCCTTTCCTCCCCATCCCCTCCACCCTGCCGCCTCCCTCGTCCCCCTCCTCCTCCCCCTCCCCGACCCAGGCCGTCCGCGCGCGCCGCGCTGTGGGAGGGGAGGAAGGGAAAGCGCCAACCGGCGGCGGCGGCTGTCTCCGCTCTCCCAGGGCAGGCGGCCCGGCGCGGAGGGGGCGGGGCCTGCGGGAGGGGGCGGGGTCTGCGGGAGGGGTGGGGCCTGCGGGCGGGGGCGGGGCGGGCAGCCGCGCGCGCCGCGCCGGGACTGACGGGCGAGCCGGCCGGACCCCCGCCCGCTCGCCCGCCCCCTCCAGGGCTGCCCGCCGAGTTCGCGTCCCCTCGGCCCGGTGCAGCCTGACGGAGGGGGAGTGGCCGGCTCCGCGCCGGCCGGCGCCCGGGGTGAGGCTGCCGGGGAGGGGTTGGGGGCGCCCGTGGCGCCGAGCATCCCTGTCCCCGGCCCGGTGGCCCCCGCCCCCCGCCTGCCCGCCGCCCCCCGCCTGCCCGCCGCCCGCCGTGACCCCCGGCCGCCTCCGGAGCCCGACGCGGTAAGTGCGCCCTCCTCGGCGGCGGGGAGGGGGCTGCGGCGGGCGGGCCGCGCGACCAGGCCCGCTCCCCGCCCCCACGCGCCCCTCGGGCCCGGCCGAGCGGGGCCCCTGCGAGCGGGGACCTGCCCCGGCGGCGTCGGGGGTTCGAGCCCCGGCCCGGCCTCCCCGCCGCGCAGCCGGGCCCGGGACCCGCGAGTGGGCCGCGCTCCGACTCGGGCAAAGTTCCGCACGCGGTGGAGCGGCGCCGGCCGAGCGTGCCCTGCGTCGCCTCCTGCCCGCACTTTTCCACTAATAAAACCAACTGGAAACCATTTCGGATTTTTTTTTTTTTATAGTTGTCCTCAGGCTAGCACAGTGTCAGTTCCTATTTTAAGTGATTGCCCCGTCCCGAAGTATGGAGAATCGGAAAGGGACTATTTCAATAAAACCCGGCGAGCCTGCTTGCAACTCCTTGGGGCGTTTCAGTGCATACTCAGAGATCCAAAGCTGATGGAAAAAGTTGGCGGTAGCAAAGAGTAAAAGCGTTACTGCCATCTCTATTACTGTCTCTCATTCGATTTTTAAAAATATTTTGGAATAGTGGATACATGCACAAAAATTCAAAAGGTACAAAACGGATATACGAAGTCTCTCCCCGCCCACTCGTGCACCCCCAGGCAACTAGTATTACCAGTTTCTTTTTTTCCCCCTAGTATTACCAGTTTCTAATTCATCGTTTCAGAGATGGTGTAATTTGCAAATGCCCTAGTTTCATTCTTTAAAAAGTGAAACTTGTCTGTTATGTGCCTGGCACTTACTGATCCCCAATAAGTGATAATTTTCCTTCCGTTAAGAGCACAGTTGAATACGTCGTTTTGGTTATTAGACCGCTAAAACAACAATAATGACTTTTTTGTAGTTTTAGGCATTTGTAGATTTGACTGTATTGTGAATGTGTCGTTCTGTTGGTGTCATAACTATGAATGCTTTTACACAAAGGTGAACACAGATATTTTTGGGTAATGGAGCATGTAGGGAAAAATCAATATGAAAGTAGTTAAGATAGGATTTGGGATCCCTGGATGGCTCAGTGGTTGAGCATCTGCCTTTGGCTCAGGTCTTGATCCTTGTGTCCTGGGATCAAGTCCCACACAGGGCTCTCCACAGGGAGCCTGCTTCTCCCTCTGCCTGTGTCTCTGCCTTTCTCTCTGTGTCTCATGAATAAATAGATAAAATCTTTTTTTTTTTAAGGTAGGACTTAATATATGCAACATAGAGTTCCAAAAGTGATTTGAAGCCACCTTAGTGTCCATATGGTACAAAAGGATAAAACTAAATGAGAAAACCGAGGCACAGCAGGAAAAAAAAAGAATACAAAGTCAAGGGAAAAGAAAATACCAAGTTCACACTGTAAGATCCTGTACTAAAAGTGAGTCACAGTTTTGGCCTTGGGCTTCATAGCAGCCAGCAAAAAAAAAAAAAAAAAAGTGGAGGAGGGATAAGTAAGCTTCAGTGTGTTTCTACTTACAAGATAGAAACAAGCAGGGCATTTTCTCTTGATAAGGCTTGAGAAGAGCATTCTCTTATGGGCCCTGATAAAAAAAGGAGATTAGATTGTATGATGCAGTTGGCAACATCTTTAAAAAAATTCTTACAGAAAGTAATGAATTTTAGACAGTGTTCTTCAATGTAGGGCAGTAATAAAACTCAAGATAAAGTTCCCTGAAGGCTCAACTTGATCCATTCATAACATTTAGAATTACCTAGAACAGTATTTCCCAAACTGTTTTCTAAGAAATGAGCAATCAATAGTTTATTTCTTGAAATAAGAGTCTGAACTCCTATAACTTTGAAATAGCTGGGTTAGACAAATTTCAATAGCTTTTAGCTCAATTTCTTGGCTAAAGTGAAATATTACTCTTATTTTTTTTTAAGATTTTATTTTGTTATTTATTTACTCATGAGACACACACACACAGAGAGGAAGAGACACAGGCAGAAGGAGAAGGAGGCTCCATGCAGGGATCCCAATGTGGAACTCGATCCCGGGACTTCAGGATCACGCCCTGGGTGGAAGGCAGATGCTCAACTGCTGAGCCACCCAGGTGCCCCAAAGATTACTCTTTTAAAGGAGGATATCTTTGCTGACCTTTTCCAAATTTGACTACTGAGAACCACTGAACCTATAGAAATGGATGGACAGGCAATCCTTCACAAGTAGTTCCTAAACTAAGGTCTGATAAAAATTGGGAGAGCAAAGAGTTTGAGGTTAGCCAATTTGGTAAGAACCAAAGTGAAGATCATCTGAAAGTCAGGATTTTAAGTATACTGTATGTATATATATGGAAAAAGCTATCTCTCCCCTGAATTCTTTCATAGTTCCTCACTGTTCTGCAAGTTGCCTGTTTGACCAAGTGATGTCTGGGACTTCTTCCTGTTTTGTCCTGTCAGGCACTCAGGGTCCTGAATTAGACTATGTTCAGGCAAGTAGAATTGCTTAAAGAATGACTAATTATTCTTGGCTGCAACTATGTGATTAACATGTTTGTTTGGTTTTTTTAAAATCACAAACACTATTGCAACTATTAGTATCAAATCCTGGAATTCTGTAGCTATGAGACTTTAGAATGCATGGTACATATAGTGGAAAGAGCAAGGAATCTGAAGCCAGAAAAATCTGGAATTGTGCTACTAATGTGTAAAGTTGTTCCCAGTAAGTTTATGAACCTTCCTGAATCTTTTTCCTTGTTTGTAAAATTTGAATGATAACAGCGTATAGTTCATTCAATAGAGGTTGAGGGTCTAATAGGTATTGTGGTAGAAAAACAGTTTTAAGGGAACAAATAAAATATGTTCAAAATGTGTCCTGAATCCTTTACTTTTTTTTCCATTCCCGAGTTCAGATGGCAAGAGTTTGGAAGGCAAGGAGTATCACCTTATCCAAATGTGTTTAGTTCCTGAATTTCAGACAGCAGGTGGTGGGAGTTGAGAGAATGAGGGATTGGTCCAAAAATGTATCTGACCCCATGAGCTCCTGTGTTTGGGTTTTGAGAGTCTGGATGATGAGGTGCACTTATAGAAGAAAGTAGTCTATAAGTGATGCAGTGCTATACAAAATGTTACTAATCTGAAGATGAATTGAAAACCAGAGCTATTCATTTTTACACGCCATGTATGAGAGAAGTGTTTGATGAATATATCAGGTAGGGTAAATTATGCTATTGTAACAGAAGACCCTCACATTTCAGTGGTTTAGAAAAAGGTTTGTTTCTTAGTTTTCTTAGTCACAGGACATGTCCAATTAGAGTCAACAGGAGAATTCTGTTCCAGGTAGTCATCTGGAGTTCCAGTTTATCAGAGGCTCTATCTTAACACTTGCTTCCACAATTTTAGGCCTGGGGGTATTGAATTACACATTGTCTTTTAAAGGCTTCTCCCTGGATATGACTCCTGTTAACTTCCCCTGCCCTTTTATTTGGCCAAACAAGTCATGTGGCTACAGCCAACTTCCAGGAGATTGAGAAATGCAATTCTATCATGTGCCCAGAAGGAGGAGAACTGAAATAGTCTGCAGACAGTCTTAATGACATTAGTAAGGGGACAGTGTAGTCCCATGAGTGAACACAAAATCTGAATAAATGAAATCCAAGTTATGCCTTTAGTACTTAGAGCACAGAATACAGCATCTTTTGTGTATGTATGTGTGTTTAATCATAGAATTATGCTAATGAGAATTGCAAAGAATATTTTTTATTAATTAGAAATGAAATGCTTTTGAAAACTCCATAATTAGACATACTGTTTTGACCAAGTAGATTTCCTTCTTTTCTAATTATATGTTCATTCAGTAAACATTTAAATGTGTTAAATGTGTGTATAAAGCACTGTTAGATCCTGTGAGAATAAAAAGATGAATGGGAGTTTACAACCCCATATAAAATAGCTATAATTGAGTTCTCTCTCTCCTTCCCTCCCCCTCTCTCTCTCTCTTCAAAGCAACATTAACAATTTTTCAATATGGTAAAACCTGATTATGTATACACTTTACCCCAATCACTGTTTTGGGGTAGGGATTTTTTTTGGTGACAAATTAAACTAGCTTAAGCAAAAGGAATATTTCATTAAAAAAAGGATATAGCTCTATGTCACAGAGTCCAAGAGCAGGGAGGGCAGCTCAGTCTTAGAGGCAACTGACACCAGTAACAGGAAGTTAGGAGCTTGGGGCTGCTCTTCCTCTCCACGTTTCCCTGATAATCTTGCTAGTGTCTCTCTGCATGTGTACTTCATTCCTTTTTCTCTGTTGACTGATTATTTTGCTTTTAAATGGGTGTTTTAACCTAAGAATTCACACAGTTAAAGGAAACTAACTAGAGCCATTAGCAAGTCCAGAAGAACTAAGTTTTTTTTTTTGTTGTTTTTTTTTTTGTTTTTTGTTTTTCTGTGCCACATCTTGGTTAGTTCTTAAGTTAACCACTATCAGAATTTGGAAATAATAGAGTTGACCCTAAAGAATAACAAGTTAGGGTAGTTGGCAACTTTGTAATAGAGGAGGCAGTTCTAATAGTTTGGAATTAAAGAAAGCTGTTGATGCCATTGAAAGTTCCACTACACAATTAACATCAACTTTCACATTCTATCAGGGCAGGCTGATTAGGATAATTGGGGTAAGGAGGTAGAGTTAGAGCTGACTTGTAACAACACTGTTCCTTCACTGAACCACTGGTAAACTCCATCTCCTTTGTAATCCTTTCCTCCATCCCTTCTCTCTCTCTCTCAAGGTAGGTATTACTGAATTGTCTCTTACAAGTCACCTGCTTTTGATACTGATATAGGGCTCCTTGGCTTCTCCCTCCATGGCTAATAATGTGGAAAAAGGGAGCATTCGATATACAGTCTTGCTCTGCACTTTTCTACAATTGGTATAGGTACTCTATCTGGACATTTTATACTTTAACTTGCTATTGCCATACCTCTCCATCAGCTTCAACCTATTTTTTATTCTCAATGAATTTCCATTCTTTTTCTGTAAGTGTGTACACTTCGCTTCTCTTAGCAAATTTTCCTTGCATTCTTCACCTAGGCAATATCTCTTTTCTTTCTGGTTGCAAATATCCATAGCTTCATCTCAGCAGATGACTGAAGGAATGGACTAAGGGGACGTAGTATATGTTACCTGGAAGATGTTCTCCCCAGAAAAGGAATAACAACAGGGAGAGGTGAGTAAAGAGTTGTGTATTTGATTTGTCAGGGATATATATTAATCTAAAAGAGCAGACGGGGGGGGGTGGAGAAGGGTTTGGGTCCAGATTATAGAACACCTGGAATGTCATTCTAAGGTGTTCTTTTACTTTTCTTGCTGTACAAATGGGCGAGTCTTTTTAAGTTCAACTAAACAGAAAACCACCATAGGCTTGTTTACTTAGGATATCAGACAGGAACCACAGCTTGCCAGCAAGGCAGCATCAAATGTTCCTCATCAGTGGCTGTGATCCTCACAGCAGTCCATGTAAGCAGTTCCTGTAGCCATCTGGGAGTCCTTGCTCTTAAGTGAAAGCTCAGCTGAAGGAGAGAAAGCTCACAAAAGGTAGATGCAGGAGCTGCCTTGGTTTGAAAAAAATCTTGTGTGTCACAGAAGACTATGCCATACAGCTCCACAGACTTAGCTTCCAGGGACCCCATAAGGGGTATAACAATTGTAAGAGCTATCACACTCAGGGAAGTCAAAATTATGGTTTCCTATGAGGTATTTATAGTTTATTTATAGTTCCCCTGGGTCCAAATGCAAATTTACTAATCATTCTTACTATAAGCAATGTTGCCTAGTAACATAGTTGGCATACCTAACTTTTATCAGATCGCCAGGGAACAGAGCTAAGAGAGTTAACTGAAGGTTAAATGCAGAAGAGAAAAAGGTTTAACTTAACTCACAGTTGTATTCCCCATAGTGTCTTCCATAGCCCTTTTCTTTCGGAAAGTATTCATTAATAGCCATTTTGCTTCATTTGATGTAGTGTGTTTTAACTCCTTTTATGACAGAGTGTGAAATAGGAAGAAAGGCTGCAAAGAAAGTAAGGTTGGAAAGTTAGCAAGAACTACTAGATTGTTAGAAACACTGATTTCCATACTAAAGATCTTGGCTTTTAGTTAGCTTGTGGGTGATAGAAAATAAAAGTTTTAAGTAGTATGGTCAAGAATTGGATTTTGGGAGGTTACTTTGGCTGTAGTGTGGAGAGTGAATGAAAGGAGATTAGACTTGAGGCTGGTTCACTTTTAGTTAATATTTGCCTTTCTTTGGGGAGATATTTCTCTGATCAGCAGAAAGGGGACTAACCAATTCTCCTGCTCTACAGGAGGGTATTGGTGGGCAGATTCAGCATGGTGCTTTGGAGGGGCCTGACCAGTTTGTCCTAAATTTGTCACTCCTCCCACCCCCACTGGCAATGAGGAGTTTGGGGGGACTGCTCTGAACTGCCTCCACTGATTGCCCTTTGACTCACTGACATCACTCATTTTGCTTTTTGCCAGAGTTGAATTACAGAATGAACTGGTGCTTTTTTTTTATTTTTTAAAGGTCTAGTTATAGGGCAAGCCAGGGAGTTTCTTTATAATGGTTAACCGGTGTAACATTTGTATTAACTGTTGCTAATTACAAGCAGCTGAGAGAGTGCTCCACATTTTTCTCTATTGCTTACATTGTCCTTTACTACCCTGACCCAGCTTTCACTATTCCATCTAATAAACAGTTTATAAAATCTGATTGGTTCTGCAGCAGAATCAACTTGATCTGTGATTGGCTTATTACGTGTACAGAGAACCCAGCTAATTTTGCTTGATTACATTTGTGTCTAGAGAGTACTGATTGATTACTTTATTCTCCTCCATCACCATAAGGCTACATAGAAGATAGAAATACTGGATTCGGTTCAGGTCAGTAAAAGACAAAATGATGGTTATCCAGATTATTACTTTTTATGGCACATAAGACAGTTGGGTGTCTCAGCACATGCCAACCGTAAAGGGTCAAGCAGGACTTTGTGGTTTGCCATTATCTTTATGGTATTACAGTCTTCATCCTTGTGCCACAGTGAATATATACCGAAATTCACAAAATCTAAGAGTGGGTGGCAAGGAAATATCTCTTTTTTTTTTTTAACCTGTCATCAAGTAAAAGGGCTTTTTAAAAAAGTAAACATTTTGTTATAATTATGTTGTGGTCTTCATAGTATCAACTGTGATAACTTTTATAGATGAGTTCAGGGATTAAAAGACCATATGAGGGATCCCTGGGTGGCGCAGCGGTTTGGCGCCTGCCTTTGGCCCAGGGCGCGATCCTGGAGACCCGGGATCGAGTCCCACATCGGGCTCCCGGTGCATGGAGCCTGCTTCTCCCTCTGCCTGTGTCTCTGCGCCTTTCTCTCTGTGACTATCATAAATAAATAAAAATTAAAAAAAATTTTTTTTAAAAATAAAAATAAATAAATAAATAAATAAAATAAAAGACCATATGATATTTAACTGATTTTTTAAGTGTTTCCTTTAGTACCAGATATTAGTACCAATAAATAGCTGGGAGATGAAAAGGTACTTTTGATATATATTAATATAGGTCAGCCCTTTATCCTATAAGAATTAGTGACAGAAGTTGGGAAGGAGTCAAGTGGGAGGAAATCTGGGAGACTCTTGTACTTTAGGAATAAAGGCCACTTTGGCATTTAGTTGTAATTGTCATGAATTTAGTATTTTGTTATATTGGGAGTGATGTGTGCTTTAAGGGCTGTCTTTGTTTTGTTTTGGTTGGTTGGTTTCTTTTTTTACTTTTAGTGCCTTATTTGCTTTTATTTTAGTCAGACCTTATTGGTAAAGAATTTAAGTCTGCTCTACAACTCTTGATATCTAACCTTGTACAAATCAACAATAGTCTGAATCTGCTACCCATTCGGACAATGGGGGTAAATATCTACTCTACCTTCTCACAATGTAGTTTTGAGTTCCAAATGAGAATACTTTTTATGCGAGAAGCAATGTGGTATACTTGAAAGTATATAGTCTGTAGAGTCAGTCCTGGATTCACATTGAACCCTGATACTCAGCAGATATCTGTAACCTCACTTGACTTCAGTGTCCTCATATGTCAGGGGAGAGAGGAATGACACCTGTTTGCTAGAGTGAGACAACTAAATACCCACTCAATGTAGAATACTTCATATATTACCATTCACGTTTGCGCACTTAGGAAATAGTAGCTGCCATTAGAAATCCAAATCCTTAATATTTGCACATACTATTTACTTAATCCCATTGAACTCAAAAGAAAACTGAAGGCCAAAGAGGTGATTTGCCCAAATTATACAGCTAGCTGGTGTATTAGTTATTGACTCAAGCTTTCTGCTATATCACTTAGGCTACCATTAATAAGTAATAATGTGAGAAAATAATAGCAGAAGCACCCTCAAATAGCTTCCTCTGAGTTGACTCATAGTTTTAACCTAATGCACTCCCTTCTCTCTGTAAATTGTACTTACTGGTCCCCAGGGCCAACTAAATATGGCTAAATAGGATGCCCTGTAGTAGGGCACAACCGTGCACAAACTGTGTGCTTACCTGATGAGTACTCACCAAAAGCTGGTTGTGTTTATTCACAAACCTGTTTTTAACAGTAATGCTTATTATAATAATTATGAATGTTATGTTTTAACAGTTATGCTTATTATAATAATCATGAATATTATGTTTTTAACAGTTTGCTTATAATAATAATTACATATAAGTGTGTTAATGAGGATAAAGAAAAGAGAAGTCATTCTTTGAAAATGAAGTTGAATACTCTGGGACATCTCAGTATAAAAGTTCTTAACAAATTTGTTATCAAATTTGATGAAGGCTGGATAATTGTAAAAGACTGGGGGGGTGGGTGTATGTTGGAGATCATCAAAGTCTAAAGCAGTGAGTGTTAAAGTTCATGGGCCATCTAACTGGTTTTAGACCATTAGTAGTCTCAAGGAAGTGAGCTCACCCTGAAATGTAAATGAGCCACATCACTAAGCACACTGTTTTGTGCAGCTGACTTTTTTTTTTTCATGGTAACACTTTCTCCTTCAAAGAAGTGCATTAATTTACATTTTGGCACAAGCTTTTTATCTCATGGTAGACAGACCAGTAGTCTAATAGATTCTGTATTCATATTATTTTTGAAGTGCTTTTAAGTTCTCTCTCCATTAATAGAAACCCTAAATGGAAATCCTGGATGTTGGGTCATTGTTGGCATGGCTTCTACAAGAAAGGACCCAGACTCAGTAGGGGGCCCACATCAAATATGTGGCATTGACCCTATATGAAAAGATCTGTGAATGAATGTATATGTATGTGTTTCAGTTAAAATCTTTAAAGATAACGTGAATAGGGCAGCCCGGGTGGCTCAGCGGTTTAGAGCCGCCTTCAACCCAGGGCATGATCCTGGAGACCAGGGATCAAGTCCCACATCGGGCTCTCTGCATGGAGCCTGCATCTTCCTCTGCCTGTGTCTCTGCCTTTCTCTTTCTCTCTCTGTGGCTCTCATGAATAAATAAATAAATATATTTTAAAAAATAAAATAAAGATATGTGAATATAATTTTCACAGCTACTGACGTTTCCATTTAATGGACTAACTATGAGGTTCCATCTGACAAAGGGCTTTTACAGACATCCAGCTAGACTGAAAATATATGCTTTGACCTTCCATCCTATGCATGCCTCTGTGTATCTTTACCATGCTGTATTGTAATTTTTAAATTGAATGTCAGTTCCTACATTGTAAGTGTCTCAAAAACCATGGTTCTATTACCTTCATAGAGTTTCTAGTCTAGGGAAGCAGGCAGACATTAAATAAGTAATTTCGGTGGGATTATTGAATTATCTACCCAAGTAGTTTTGGATGCAGTCTGATCATGTAACAAGGAGACATAATTGAGTTCGAAGGTTAAAATTTACCTTAGTCATTTTTTTCACCTTGGTCTTTCGTAAGTACATGACACAGTGCTTTGAGGGTACACAAAGAAATAAAATTCCTATATTAGATAGCTTTTACCATGAAACAACTTCAATTTTCAGTGTATTTCAGAGTTCTCAACTGCTGAGCTTTTAATCCTCTGCATAATTTACAAAGCTGAATCTCTTAGGATATTACAACTGAATTTAAATTCAATATTTATTTTTAATTTTCAATTATGGATTAAACC